CTCAGTGTGCAGATCAGTGAACTTGATGAACTGATCAAGAAGGTACAATCTCTTTTTATTTCGTTCAAAATTCCACAGAAATCATATGACAAGGAATTAAATAACTTAAATTTAAGAATCTCAAATATGGATAGTTGTTTAACTCAAACAAGGGTCACAAATTCTAACCTAACTGACCAAATAAGAAGGGTGTCGTCCAAGAGTGAGGAGCGTAGGATGTGGATTGAGCTGAAGGAGTCGGAGCTAATTAAGTCTAAGGATGAAAACATTTATTTTCAAATAGACAATTTGAAATTGTTAAAACAAAGGAATGTTTTTTGTTTGATTGCTAAAAGACTTTATGTTAATATTACTCAACTGCATCTAAATTGTGAAATAGGGCAGAAGATACATCGCATGATTCTACCCTTCCTTGAGTTTAAGGAGGATGAAATCGATGCCGAAGCATACAACTGTGAAAGTGTTGTATCTTCCGATGATGTGAATCCTACTTATATGTATGGTCTGGACAAAATAGAATCTTTTATAAAGTCCAAAGACCATAAGGACAGGCTTAAAAATCTTTTGGATGAAAACAATAAGCTGAAACTTAGGACCGAAACTATACAAAAATTTGACTCATTGAGTGCCAATTTAAGTTCAAAAAATAAAATTGATGTTGAAAACGCATGTGAGCTTAATGAGGACGATGGTATGAATGAAATTTCTGTAGAGGATGAAGTCGACTGTTTTGAGTTTGTCAAGAGAGAACCCGAAAACCACAACAATCTGATTTTTGAAAATTCTGTGGAATTCGCTCGTTTGTCCAAAAACAAGTCCCCAGCCCTTGAAGAAAAAGTTGTTGTGTACCAAAAGGTGAGAACCACACCGAATCAAGTATATAAGGTCACAGGAGTAACTGAGCATCAAACAGCCGAACTCACTACCATAGTGAACGAAGATAACGCAGACGAATGTGAGTTTTTCGGGTAAGCTCCTATAGATAATGCAGACGAAACAGTTGGTCTGTCAGAGCGAACGTCCTGGAAAACCAAAGGAAGATATATACCAGAGCCGCTGAACAAGCCTGACAACTTTGACGTGCCAAGTACAAGTGGCACAAAAGAAATACCTGTAGAAGAAGTCACCTCCACAAGCGAAACCTCATCTATGAAGAGTGAACCGGTTGCCAAAAAGCTAAAACAAAAGGCTAATATCCATAGACAACCGAAACATGTGAAAAATCAAAAGCGGCAGAGAAACCTGAGATACAAGAAGAATCTCTCAGAGCGAAAGCAGTTTTGGCGCTCTCAAAATGCTCACTTCTCTTATTCTAATAAAGATTCAAAGTCAGGGAAAAAGGCTTTCGGGCCACATGAACAACAAAACCAAAATGAGAGGTTCGGTCCTAAGAGCGACAAGAACCGAAAGAATAGGTTCGGTCCTAAAAGCAACAAGAACCGAAAGGAGAGGTTCGGTCCTGAGAGCCACAACCGAAAGGATAGGTTCGGTCCCGAAAGCAACAACTACCGAAGATCCAGGTTCAGTCCCACTAATGACCATAAACAAAAGGGTCATTTAGAACCTCAAGTCAGGAAAAACTCCCAGTCTAAATTCTCTCTTTCTGATTCCTCTCATTCTCAATCCTTTTCTAAACCCAATTATGTTCCTGCACAAAATTCAAAATCATCAACAAACAAGGTGTGAATAACCATGCAAATTATCTTGGTACACTTAATGTTATAGATTACCTAATCAATGTGTGGGTTAACCACACACGCTTCATTGATTTATGATTAAGATCAAACGACCCTTTGCCACACACTGTCAGTTCCAGATTAGTGTGCCGGTTAACCACACGCTTTCCATTAACGACTTAACAAGATGCAAAGTGCAATTTCATGGGTTAGCACCAAATTCACATTTTGCTAAGTAACTAATATTGGGAATTTATAAGTGTTTAGTTACTTGGTATTTTCATTATACTTTTAATGAGAATTAATGTCCTATCATACTTATTCGGCTAACGACCCTCCACCAGTCAAGGATGCGGTGGGTGAGAGTGGACACTCATTAAACTGGCATTTTATAGGCAATAACGTTATACCCCACTTATATACCTGCTTCGTGAACGAGGCCTACTAACGGTAAGACTGACTTGTCTTATCCATATATATATAAGTATTAACTTTTAACATTATAATAGTATAAGTGTGTATTTTATACTTTTAAAATACTTGATGGTTTAACTCTATTAATTGATGGTTTAATTCTTTTAATTAAACACTTTAATTAATTTAATAAAATCCATAAGGTGTAATTTGAACTATTCAAAAACTCAAGATTCTAAATAAAAGTTCAAAATTAAAAACTATTTAATTAATTTTTTTTTAATTTATGAATCCAAGAGTTATATCTTTTAATTATAAGAGTTTCTTAATTTGAGACTTTTCAAATACCAAAACTTGTGGGTAAGTTTTGTAACTCTTGAAAACTTTTGGTTTTTCTATAACTTATGAGTTAATGTGGATTTTATGAAAAAAAAAATCATGTTCCATACTTGAGGACAAGTTATAGAAGACTTTAAGAACATTTAAATCAATATTTTAACAAATAAAAATTATCATATATTTTTTCTATGATCTAGTTAAACTCATACATCAAGACAATTCATATCAACAATTTACAAGAAATAAGTCTATCATATAAACTAATATAAATCTTAAAATTTTGACAATTATCTTTTGATTGGAAGAGGATCATCATTACCAACTCAGAAAATACAATTTTTATGATTACAAAATAGTTTGCGGTAATGATCCTAATCCAATCTTTAGCCAAAAACTCGAAATTCTGCAACCTCAAGCACCAACTTGACGAGTGCATGAACCTGACTCATCGAGTTGCCCTTTTACTAAGTGGACTCGTCGAGTCAGCTAGTGGACCCGGCGACTTCATCCGTCAGAGGCCAGAAAATTGATTTTTTCTAACTTTGAAAATTAATAAGCCTCAAATATAATACAAAACAATCCTAGGCTCTGATACCACTATTGGGTTTTGTATATTACAACATCCTATGGTGCACATATAATCCTAAATGTGTTGGATCTTTGTTTTCTCTAATTATACATGCAATATTGTTTCCAAAGCATGAACCCTACAACTAGCATACAATTAACATAAACAACATGAAATTCAATTATAGAATTACCTCTTTGTTGTAGCTTGTAGTTTTGGCCTTTAAGAACTTAGCACCTCAAATGTGATGCCTCAAATTGTTCACAAAAACCATAAACAAATGGAGGACTTGTGAGAGAGGCTACTAGCACACAAAATCGGTTATCACTCCTCTTAGAATGCATTGGGGCCGATTTTGGTGACTATGGGTTCCTTTTATAGTGTGACAAAGTCTAAGATTACATCCATGCAAACCCTAATGCACACGAAGCTTCATATTACTTAGGCTCCATGGGTTAAACCTCCATGGACGATCCATGTTGGTTTAGCCCATCCGAAATAACCATGAATCATTGACCCACACTATAAGAGTCATTGATTTACTTAATCAATACTCGTATATTTAATTAGTCTTTTTTGATCACTAAATTAATTCCAAATTAATTCTTGATCAATATTAATTAAATAACATGATTTTATATTAATATATTAGAACTTATAATATATTAACAAATCATAAATAACTTCTTCTCAAAAGTTCATCCTATCAAATTGCTTTGGTGAAGGCAACCCAAATGGAACATGCTACTCTCGGGTCAAGTACATACCAATTATAATTATGGGATTAGACACCTAATCCAACAAGTCCCCCCTCGATTTGAGAGCAACAACATCGGGAATTACCATGGTTCAATTTAAATCATTCTCTTCAAGCTACTTGATTTATACTGAAATATGGATTTATAACTTATATTGTGTTGCAAGAGGTAGTCTGTGATTCATCCTTTTTACAAAACATAAAAGAACAATGATGGCATAACATCACTTGAATTATTCTTTGAAATCCACAAAGATCTAGTGTCAAAAGGTGGGGAGTGGATGAAAGAAACGTCCGATCAATTCATGGTGGTTGGTGCACTTATAGCCACCATCATGTTTGCAGTTGTTTTTACAATCCAGGTGGTTACAAACAAAGTGGTCTTCCAATATACCCTCCCAAAAGGACTCTTCATATCATTTGCCATAATGCATGCCAGTTTTATCTTCGACTTTAATCTTTGGGTTCTTATTCATCCTTACATCTTGTTATGCTTAGTAGCATTTTTTTTAAAGCAATACCGAAAAAACATATTGATTGGTCTTGGAACACTTTTCCTCTTAATAATGATGGTAGCAATTCTTATTTGCATATTTGTTGTTATGCTTATGATTTCATATGCAAAACTACATTCTTCTCTTTTGATGGATTGGTTTCATCCAACATGTTGTTCAAGACATCTCTTCAAATCGTTGAGACGATTGTTTTTCTATGAAAATCCCATATTGTAATGTTATGATTGAATTTGAGCTTCCATTTATAGAGTTTGATTATGTTTCTTTGAAGAATGCAGTTAATATGTAGGTTAGAACTATTTCTATTGTGTAAATTCTATTCCTCACATATTTTCTAGTTTATTTCTTTGGTTTATTAAAATACAAATTTTCTTGTTGTATCCATTTACATAGAGTAATATGGTTTTCTTTTCTCTTTTTTTTTTTTTTGGAACGACGAGTAGATAGGTGAGTTATTGAAAATACCCTCATTTGTTACGTTGGCAATACTTATGCCGACATATACTTTCAAAAGTGATAAAATAGCAATGTATTTTTTGATTCGTCCCAATTAGGTCACAGTTCTTTTTTTATCATTTATGTACATATCTTAATTAACAAGAACTGATAATGGTTTGGTGGGGGGAATATAGACGATGGTGTTAGGCCATAAGTATATCTACAAGAATAATTAGCATGCATTAGTGGCTACGATTATTGCCGCTAATAGTCTCGATTGCTTCCACTAATGGTTATACATCACTAAAGGTCGTCGTTGATGCCTCATTGCTATTGCTCCAATTGTCCTGCAAATGCTTCATGTCCCCACTAATGCTTCCCATTGCTACTAATGCTCTTGTCACTAACAATTCATTGGCAAACACACACATATACATACATTACACATACAAAAATTCCAAAATGCATACATAATACATAAATTAAACATTTACTACGTTTTCATATATACAAATTGCATACATTATACATACAAACATTCCAAATTGCATACATTTATAATACAAATACACAAAATGTACACTTAGAAATACATTCACTGTGAAATACATTATACATGCACAATTTAAGAAATTTGGATAAAATATAGCATATGGTGGTTGCAGGTAGAAAAGTGGTGGTGTTGTTGTGGCGGTACTCCGGCAACGGTGGTGCAATTCGTTGGCAGCAATAAAGAAACAAATCTACCCTTCCCACCGGTGTTCTGAAATCATGAAGGTAAACAAATTTAAGTTTGTGTCTTGATCATCTGAGAGAATAGAAAGAAAAAGAAAAATAGTAGAGAGCCATTACTTCTGGTGGTCGGTGATGAAGGCCTGTACCCGGTAAGTAAAAACGTTTTTTTTTCGGTACCTGAGTGTGTGGTGGTGACGGAGAAGTATTTTCGATGAAGCTCCGACAAAAGATGGACTGATGGTCGAAATAACAAGAAACCACCCGTGGAAATTTTGGAAAGGAACCAAATCAGAATACAAGAAAAAATGGAGGTGATGGTCCAAATCAACGATGCACTTAAGCGGCGATACCGTTTAGCGATGACGGTTAAGTTTTAACAGAGGCGAAGAGGTTTTAGCGACGATGGGTATTGCACGATACATTCTTCGAAGGCGTTGGATTGAGTAAGTTGACAATACCAAGCGTTGTCACCGCTAAAGGACCAGTCGCTACTATAGCCCTAAATTATTGTAGTGGCTTTATAAATAAAAAGTTGCCCAGGTGGGACAAATTTTGAAAATACAATGATTGGTACGACAAATGAACAACCTAGGAGGGACAAACAAAAAACTACATTGCTATTTTATAAGTTTGGAAAATACAATCACATGTAATTAGCATGGTCAAACATACTAAAAGTGGATACAATATAATCAAACTTACATATGCAACCAGCATAAACCTTGAAATATGCATTCCATTGCGGGTGCTATATGGCGAGTTCTATGTGACTTTTTGTAGTAGTGAGATTTCTCTTTGAATTTTTTATAGATCCAAGCGGGCAGATTTTTCTTCGGATTTTCGATGGATCCAACCTTAACATACTTACTCCTGAACATGATGTCCCAATCATCTAAGGCCTCTAGCTCAACCTTCTCGAGACCAGTGAGATCGCTATTCAAATCTTCCTCTTCAAAGCTGAATTTTGCAATGGCTCTACTGGCATCTTTCCCACTCCACTCTCCATAAGTACCACCTGCTCCGTAAAACATCCTGGCCGATGAGACATCATAGATCTGACCTTTGATCGCCAAAAGAACAGGCTTCCTAGGATCTCTACCATCATATGCTTTCAACTCCTCTTCCGACATATCATTATGCTGAATGATTTGCATATCCATGCTCTCTTCATAATTATTACTAGACACCTGTTCTAGCTCATCATGCATATGCATGTTTACCTCCGCATAAAATGCTGTGTAAAATATGAACTTCTTTTCCTTCTCAACCATATATTCCACCTATATATGAGATGTAGAATTAGAATATGCATGTGCTTATTAAAAAAAATTAGAGCAAAATAAGTAAATCCTATTATTTCTGAAAGAAGTATAGCTTACTTGACATTTAAGGGCATCTTTAAGTTGTTTTACGATCTCAGCTACCAGTGGACGTTCATTGTGATCTTTGTGTAGACATTGATATGCAGTTTTAGAGAACATTTCCAAACAATCTGGATATATTTGCTCTTGTAGACAATCAAGTACAACTGTCTGCAGCTTCTTTTCTTCATAGCAGCTTTGTGCCAATTTCGACAAAAAACGGCGATTGTCATCACAATTCGATACGCAAAGCCTTCCACACAAGACTTCGAATAAAATCACCCCAAAGGAATAGACATCAGATTCTTTTGTCAAGAATCCAGTATCCCCGTAAAGTGGATCGCAATACCCAGGAGTCCCTACTGCATGGGTGATAAGAAATGTGAACTCTTGGTTAGCAGGTCCGAGTTTGGAAAGACCAAAATCTGAAATTTTGGCATTCCAATTCTTATCTAATAATATGTTGGAGCTTTTCATATCACGGTGTAGCACTCTTTGTGTAGTGTCACCCGGATTGTGAAGATACTCTAGCCCACAAGCTGCCCCAATGCATATGTTTAGGCGTTGGATCCATGACAGATTAGAGCTACTAAGGTACTTGTCGAGACTTTGATTCGGTAGATACTCATACACAAGGATATTCTCACCACCCTCATCACAAAAGCCCAAGAGAGCGACCAGATTTTCATGTCTGTAGCGAGAAAGCATCATGATCTCTTTCCAAAACTCTGGGGTCCCTTGTCCAAATCTTCTATCTAAGCGCTTGGCTGCAACCATAATCTGATCACCGAAGTGAAAGAGCTCTCCTTTGTAGACCTTACCAAATCCACCTTCACTGATGTAGCAGCTGTCACCAAAGTTATTGGTTGCCAATTTTATAGCTTCTAGGGAAATTTTAAGGTGTGCAAACTCTTTTATTGAAGACATTTTCTATGATTTTGGTAGATATTGAAGGAGATGGGAAGAGCTCCACATACACAATTGGAGAGCAAATTAAAAGGCAAAAAGCTACAGTTTGATTCTATTTTTCCAGCGACTCCTTGTTCACCAAAGACTCATAGACGACCTAACTGCGTTTAGTTATTCACGAAAAAACCTTGCAGCTACCAATTATCGTCAACACGACAAACTACATGTACCCAACCAGCAGAGGCGGCTTCCCACAGAAAAAGATAGAAAATATATTTTTAGGGGCAATTTCGTGAATATTCAACATAATTTTTTTAAAGGAAAGGCACCGGAAGTGCAGGTAGCTAGCCGTAGCAAAATGACCGAAAAATAAGAAAAATAAAATAAAATAGATAAACAATAGGAAAAAGTGATAAATTGTTGTAAGTTTAACAAATATATATATATATATATATATATATATATATATATATATATATATATATATATATATATATATATATATATATATATATATATATATATATATATATAGAGAGAGAGAGAGAGAGAGAGAGAGAGATTGAGAGAGAGATCATATATTCACCGAGACCCAATAATTAAAAGTCGACAACTAGATCAAATTTTTTAATGGTGAGATTTTTTATCTCAATTTCATAACTAAGGTTGAACGGTATGGGTGAGAGAAAGAGTACGTGAAGCTTTTTCTCTTAGCTGAACATCATCCTTTGATTGAGGGAAAAGTGGTGAGGGAAAAAGGTGAGAGAGCCCATTCCATCATTCTCTCTCCTATTCTTATTGACTATTTTTTTAATCTTTTTTAATACTTATCAAATTATATACCTATTAAAAATTATATATATATATATATATATATATATATATATATATATATATATATATATATATATATATATATATATATATATATATCAAAACTTATGTTTTTAATTCATTACAAAATGAATATAATATTTATAGGAAATATTTTTAAAAAAAAAAAAAAAAAAATAGTGAGGGAAGTTTCCAACCTACTATTTGGATTTAGGTGAAAGAAACAAAAGTGAAGGGAATGGTTTTTTGGCCCACAAAAAATGAGGGGAGTTTCTCACTCACACCGTTCAGTCTAACAAAAAGTTGAATGGTGTATATAGGTTTTTAACAAAAATCATAAGGGTAGATTGTGTATGAGATTATCACACCCTTAGATATCAGATTGAATACCCTTTTTTCTCTCTTTCTCTCTTCTCTTTCACGTACGTCGTCCTCGCCGTCTCCTTTCTCTCTCTAACCATGACGTCTGATCTATTTTTCCCTCTATTGGCTGCAATAGTATCCTCGTCGGATCTGGAACAACAATCAGACTTGGTGCACGATTGTACAGCAATCGAGAGATGTATTGATCACTCGGTCTCAATCTTGATCCCACAATATGCGGTAATCCACAACTTACATAGTCTTAATGCCTTAAGACAAAATGTCTAACTTCCAAATCTAATTAAGAGAATGAAAACTCCTCACACGAAATCGTGGTGGCCAGAGGTTGAGAATATATAAGTTATAAAAGTTACACTTTACAACGTTGAACAATAAACAAATATACAACTAAGTACAACACTATTATTGTCTAATATCCGCTTTCAAGAAAAACGGTGGTGGACCAATACGAAGCCTTTCCCGAAAGAACTCAAACTGATGACGTGACAACCTTTTGGTGAAAATATCAGCCACTTAAAACTTGGTAGGAGAAAACTCGGTGTGAAGCTTTCCGGATAAAACAAGCTCACGAATGAAGTGATAGTCAAGTTCAATGTGCTAAGCATGTTTGTGAGAAACCGGATTACGAGTAAGGAAGAGAGCACTTTGATTATCAAACAAAAAAGTTTGTGGATCTGGTGGAAGCGCATGAAGCGCTCTCAATAAATGAGTGATCCAAACGACCACCCCGAAAAGCATAAACACCACATCCACGAGAAGTAACAGGTGGCCTCATGTGAGCCGAATAATTGTAGGAGGAGAGGCACTCCCGTGAAGGGAGCGCAAAAACCATTCATGGGCTTCGGCTTGTGCAAGAAGATCTTGGGTGGTAGTTGTAGACAGGGAGGCACAAATTACAATGCAAAAGTCTTGATAGACGGACCCAAACCACATAGGAACTAGTGGACTTTGTCTGGTTCCATTACAGGATGACCAACAGTTGGGAGTTGATCGTAAATATTCAAGAACCGACGACCAAATTCAGCAATAGAGGATGTTCCTTTGGAAAAATGACGAAGTTGGTCACGCAAAGTTCGAATACATCGATAGAAGAGTGGTTGTATGCTTCCTCAAGAGAGACCCGGAGTTGGCGGATAGTAGAGCAACCATGAAACATCCAAAAAATACGGTCCAAAATTTACGTTTTTAAATCATAAATAAAACAGTAAGTATCAATCATCATATAAAAATCATAAATCGTGTATCTCATAAATGTTATAAACAACTGTCAGTATATCAAAATCATGTGTCAAACATCAAAGTAAATCATCCCAGACTAGAAGTTGTGGTGTGTGTCATGCAGTCATCCAGAGCTCTTCCCTTTGCTAGCGGAAGTACTTAAAACCAAAACTTAAACTTGTATGCACGGAGTTCAGTGAGTCTCCACAAACTACCACATACCATACAAATAATTACATAATAGCATACATTGGGCCTTGCCCACTACATCCGGACCCACCTGGCATCGGACGAATCCGACATCGAGCCCTGCCCGGTATCGGACCGAAGTTCAACATCGGACTGAAGTCTGGTATACATATAACATATCAACAAGCATATAACATATACACATAACATAAACATATAAATGTTCCTCGGGCTTGCCCCGACATCAGACCGAAGCCAGTAACACAGAAAATATAACATATAAGTTAGACATTCATCGGGCTTGTCCCGACATCGGACCACAGCCCAGAAAAAATAAACACACACATGCAAGAATCACGAATGCATGAAGCATACAAACATTCATCGGGATTGCCCCGACATCAGACCGAAGCCTAGAAACATATAATCTACATCAGGCTAACCCGACATCGGACCTAAGTTCAGAATACGCTAACAAACATAAATGGGCGGACATTGGTGCCTTCGACCCGTTCCTACTGGAGGGAAATGATGGGTTTTAATACAAACAATCCTATGTGTGCATGCAACCCTAGTATTGGATCTATGTTTTAACTATTAGTTATACAGCTTTATGAACACCAAAAGAAACCTGGCATGCTACTATAATTTTCGAAATTCATATATAAAACTAGAATACATACCTTTTGTTGTTATATAGCAATAACAACTAGTTCCTTGAATTTCCTTAGCTCTTGAAAGCAAGTACCACAAGTGTAGTACCTCTAATGGAGTCACAAACACCATATGCAACTTGGATGAAGAGGAGAAGTAAAGGAGGCACCAAAAACGGCTGGAAACCCTAATGGAAGTGTTCTCTAGTTTTTGGGGCTTAAGGGTCCCTTTTATACATGTAGGCTATTAGGGTTTACAACTAGGAAACCCTAATTTGACTGCTTAGGCCCTAAGCAGCCCATGGACTCCTTAAACATATCCCTTGGACGATTTCTAATGGGCTTCCCATAGAATTCGTTCAACCTATATATTATTAGGTGATCCATAGCCCAATTATAATTATCTTATAATTACAACTTCAGTCCCCTAAGTTTAATTAATCTCTTTTAACCACAAAATTAATTCTTAATTAATTCTTGACCAATATTAATTAAACAATATGATTTCTCCTTTAATATATTATTCTCATAATATATTAATAAATCATATTTAAACCTTTCTCTCCTTAAATCATCCTACATATTGCTATGGTGAAGGCAACCCAAAAGGACCATGCTCATAATCGGGTCAAGTACATACCAAAACAGTTATGGACTTAGACACTAATCCAACAGTCTCCCACTTGGATAAGTCTAATAACTATTTTCCGTATGACTTCAGAACCTGATCAGCAATCGTAGCTTTCAAAAGCCGTTGTCAACTCTGATCTTATCAGATAGCGTGTCCTCTAGATAAGGGATTATATATTCCTCCATTCTCAAGATATCGTATAGACAAAAGACATGAATTTCAATCATTCTCTCTATACTGTTTCCCGACTTCCGATTCATGACGACTGATAACAGACTACAATTGAACACATCAACTTAGTCCCGGCTTGGCCAAGCGCTTAGGTGTCATCACTAAATCATCGAGAGGCCCACATATATCGCTTTTATCCCACTTTGGGTAAAAGGAATGGATAAACTTCGACTCAAATGCTCGCTTGCATTTACTGATCGAATCACACACAACAATAAGTTTTATAACACCAAGTTACTGGTGCGTTTACTTATTATCAATGTGTAACTGACCAACAAATAACAACTCACACGTCTCAGTTTCAAGAATATACAATATTATCGTCTCACTAATCACTCGTGATAAAACCGTGAAGTGATCCAAGTGAGCGTGGGTTTAATCCAATACTTTAATCTTATCAAAGCACTCACGAACTCTGCAGCAAACTTGTGCCATGTCTAAACACTTCAGACAATCTACAGACAGATTCATGACAGTCTTTATTCATACCTACTCCCAACGTATGACCAACTGTGGATGTTTGAATAACCTAGTTATTCTGGAAGTCAAAACATGCAAATTGAAACATAACAACAATACTTAATCCTATATGGCCCCAAACTTGTGAGAGTAAATAAAACCCTTCTATTTATCCACCATATTGATTACTCATTATTTATCATTTAATGTTTCGGATAATCAACTCATTACTTGAATTATACCAACAATTGTCCCATGCTCTAAACATGCACACTTTGTTTCCTATGGTCCATGCTTTGTGAAATAGATCACCTGAAAACTTTTCCAATGATGCTCATTTCATAATTCCTTAATCCTAATTATTAGTGTAAGAACACAAGGTTCTTGCCACTACTAGAATATGCTAGATTCTAACATTT